TTTGTATTAATTCTTCGTTTTTCGTCAGAAAAAGATGGTTTTCTATTTTCTTTCAGAAACATGGCACAGCTATTACGTAAATACAACAGTTTTGCAATACGATATCCACTACTTGGCATGAGTTTAACTACAGGTATGACTAGAAGCTCGCTAGCTCTTCCACTTTGTATGGAACCTATAGTCAGAAATTTTCTAGGAAGATGCATCTTCCACAAAGTTTTCCGTGCATGCCGACAACGTCTCTGATTGCAAGGCAATTAATTTGCGTAACTTTGCCGGGCTACACGCAACATGGATGGACCAATATGGCTTCTTGGCAATATTAGACCATTGATTTACAGATGTGTAGCAGAGATAGAATCGGTTCGGTTTGAAGAAAATGACAGGCGATTCTATATCTACTATTAATGTTATATCAGAAGAACGGACAAAATTACTGACGATGGAAAAAATAGTATTCATTCACTGGCATCTAGTAACTTTTTTTTGTTCTGTTGTTATACAAGGTCATCCGTGCACAGAAGAAACAGAAAGAAAAAAAATGATTTTTTTAGCACCGAACAATATCATGTAATAACAGAACGACAAAAGTGATTCATAGCGATTGAGGGTGTCACTGCTATTTTTCCCATCCTTGTTATTAGATAAGTTTAATAATGTCATCCATGCATATTTCTTCTAGTATTTGAGTTTTTTGTTTTAATATAAGTTTTTGAAACATGTTTTCAGTTCATATTTTAAATCATTTCATTAATTCTAACGTAATAGACAATATTATAATACCCTATTAACTACAAATGTCTCTAAAATATTTTTCAAATCTGACCTTCTATTGATTTGATACAGAATGTTTTGCTCTAGAAAAATGTTAACTGTCCACCTTGAACGAAACTTTCTCGTTTGCATAAAACTTAGACAGTTGATATGTTTTCAACTGTGGCGAGGGAAAGTGATAAAGAGGGTGATCATTTCTAATATGAATGACGCTGAATTTTGAGTTATGTAACAACATGTCCTTGCATTTGTGCATTTCTTGATACGTATTTCAGAGTTGACGAAGATATATATGGAAAATCAGTGTAACTAAGAACTGTGAAAACATAGAAAATTTTATTTATCTCAGATTTATGTGTTGACTATCTTTTGGTACGGATAATCGAATAGTTTGCATTGTTGAAAATACATGTTAAGCGAATTCATTCAGAAGCAGGTTCTACTTTCGATACGACAATAAACCCTTCAGAGATAGTATGTAACTAGAAAGAATAATCTTCCATAATGCATTCAAAGAGATTCACAAATGTTAAAACACTATACCTATTTCTATGAAATCATAGGAGGAAAAACATTGAAATTTCAATAGAAACAGTGTGAAAAATTCTCTCTATTGATGTAAAATATTTTATGTATAGCATCGAACTTAATGAGCACTAGCCTACATGAATCAATAAAAGTCTGCAAAACAATACGAGATTTCACTTATACTATTGAGGAACTATTAATCGTTAAAGATTGTGTAAATAAGAAAATTTGGTTTGAGAACAAAAATCATTTTTAAAGCAGCAATTTTTGTATAGAGTTAGATCAAAGTCAAATTTTGCAATCGTTTTTAAATATCTTAAAAGCAGTGTATTACCTATATCTGCTGCGATCTGATTCATTCATAATATCATTATGCATAAAAAGTTCCTTCGTAGAGGCAGCTTAAGACTAATATCTTTAAAATATCATAGTGAGTTTTGAGAGTTTTTAACTAGACTCAGTTCGGTTTCAAAAAAAAACGAAATGATTCCATCACTGATGTGTAAGACAAGTCACCGTAAAAATGATGGCTTTTTTCATATCCGTAAAATAGATGCCCGATTTTTTGCAACTGTATGCTTGATGCTGACTACAAGAGAAAACAAAAACTGATCAATCACCAGATACATCTTTTTCGCTGATCTATATTAAACGTTGTTCCTTGTCAGCTTGCGTACGAGCTATATATTATCATGTTGCAGGCACTACCATGGCGCTTGGAAATGTAATCTCACAGACACTCATCGAAAAACGAGAATTGAAAGATTTCGATTGGGCTCGACTTGGTAGATTTGCGTCGGCTGGTCTTTTCTTTGTGGTAGGTATTCTTATTCTTTCTAGCAATAGTGTACATGTGTTGTCTGTTAGGGTCCATTTTTTCGATATTGGTTTTATGGGTTAGAACGTTATTTTGCCGGTGCCACATTACAACCTTTGAAAATGATGGTCGTAGATCAGGTTAAAACTTAAAACTTTTTGCCATCGATAATCGTAATGGAAGTTTATTCATTTAGCTTTTCTCTGCACCGTTAATCAATGCTACTCTTATAAGTTATCTCTCGTTGACTGGCGGAGCATCCATTAATCAAACAAAAGAACGTCTTTGTCATGTAAGTCGTAAAGGTTACAGAAAAATTTTAAACGTTCCACTTCTATTGGTATAGGATTTTCCTGGTATAATGAAAGCTAACTATACAGTGTGGCCAGCAATTCAATTGACCAATTTCTATTTTGTTCCTTTACAACATCGGTGAGTAAGAAAAAAAGACAAAGATTCATGTTTCTTAATAAATAAAAATTGTGCATATTTTTAGTACACTTTTTGTCAATATTTGTATGGTCCTATGGTCGTCTTTTCTGGCTTATAAAACAAAATGATATATTCTAAGTACTTTTATCTTTTTTTCTTAACTCAAAAAAAACAATGCGCGCTGTAAACATCGCGTTAATAAATAATAATCCAGCTCTCTCATCAATCTAAAAACAAACGACAATTTCTGCTATAGCCACAGATTACAATTGTTGTACTTATTCGTAACTGTACAATCAATTTAGCACAATTTTATGTTAGGTAGCAAATGCTATATAGAACTCTTAACAAATATCTTCAATGCGAAATCATATACAAAAAAGTAACAATCGAAAATGCAAACAAAAAATAGATTCATACCTCTCAATGATGAAGTTAATTTAGCTTTCGCTAAATAATTTGAGAACGAAAATCGAATTACTTGTATCCAGAAATCTAGATAGGATGTGAGTATGTATCCCTTTCGGATCAACCGCCCACACCCACACACCCTTGGAAAGACCACATCTTTTCGGAAGAATGTTTCCTCTCGTTGTAATTGGTGCAGCTGTCGGAACGAATCGTTTACAAAATAGAATTATAAATTAGTTTATTCCAGTTACTTGAATGAAGGGTAAATAAAATGTGCTATTCATAATATAAAGAATATTTGAAAATGGGTTTTAAAAGGTGAGTTTCGTTTTCAAAGAATTCTCACATCTAATGGATGAGTGTGATTGACTTTTAAATACTTTTATATGATTTCAACTTGACTAGCCTTAAGGCTGACAAAAATATCTAGTCTTTTTTTCTATAACTTATGTATAGACATATGCTAGTGCAGGTGTAGTAGCAGTTGTACCAATCTTAACCTACGACGGATTTGGATGTGTAATATTTGTATCCAATGGTTCTGTGATGATTATATCGTTCTTGAGGGTGTGGGTGTGAAGAAAGAAAAGAACCATCCACACCCATACTCAAGTCCACACTCACACTCACACCCACATCCACACCCCCATCCTCACACCCACACCCTAGTTCGAAATCAACAACTAGAAAAAGCATGTTATTTCACAATCATTGTCGAAGAATGAGTCGTATACATCGCATGCATCGATCCATATTTGGATGTGCGCATCATACACTGTAAAAAATATCTTTTGTAGAATAAAGAACGAGTAAAACAAATACCCTTATACGGTAATTTTTGACGCAACACAGGACGAAAAAAGAAATAACTTGTTGCCTGTGGCTAATTTCCTTTTGTTTTGCTTACTATCATTCATCGGAAATGAACTTTTCTTTGTAAGAGAAAATGTCCCGACTCAAAAATCTGACCCTAAATAAGTGATTCCTTAGAGATGTTCGGCGAGTTTAAAAGTCTTCCAGTGGAATGTTCATATTTATACATTTAAATAAATCATTTATATTTAATTATATCATTTTACTTTGCGTGATAACCTCCATTTAGTTTTCTACACGATTATAACTGCATATAGTGTAGAGATATTTTACTAAATCGTCTGCCAAGGAACCAACATGAAGAATGTATTGAGTATTCACATCGGAAAATCGTATTCACTGTATAAGTACATTGATTACAACTGATTTTTGAAATGATTTCATATGTTTTGAGATGATTTTAATCGTCTTTATTGTTGAGTTTCAACCAATTGAGATTATCTATCTCCGTAGAACAAATCATTTTAAAATATAATGGTTATAGTAATTAGGTGCTTTCAATAAATTATTTTTGTTTTATTTAAATTCTATAGGGTGTGGGTGTGGGTGTGAAGATCGATATACTCTTCAACAACATGCACCCAAGTCGATTTATTGGAAAAATTTATATTTTTTTTCGAAAAATAAATAAAAAAATTAGAATAAAAAATAACTATCCATATTTTGAGGATTTCTCTTCAGAACTATATGCAATTGAGCTGAAAATTTTAGAAAGTACATAAGTCATCATCTCCACAACATATCAAAAAATTGGTCAATTTCTGAGATATCACTCCATCATTGATGTCCTACAGTAATTGACTTTCTCAGAGACTCATTATTAACACCTGAAATTATATCTCGAAAAAAAAATACTTCAGTCTTTAAGATGTTCTATGTGATGAATATTACTATTGATGTATTATTCAACTTGTCAATATAAACGAAGATCAATATGCGAACCATAAATTAATACTTTCATTATAAATTTCAAAAATTTTCGCTAAACATTTACATATTGTTAATTATCATATCATATGATTATATGACAAATAAAATTTAAAATCTTTCGAAAAACATTTAAAAAAAAATTATTTTTATTTTACTAACGACTAATAATAATATTAATAAAGATATTTATTTTCATTTTCACTAATAATTATAGATAAATCTATTCATAATCGTCTTATGCCATAAACTTATCGAATTCTTTTAATGTTGATAAAGCTCCACGTATAAAATAAACAATGATTGCTATTTCTTGATTAATTTCTGTTTGATTACCACCAACAATTGCATCACTAATAGTTGGAAAACCAGAAGCACTATATTGATTAGTTTTAGCTGGTACAAAAATGACATGTCTTTTTATAGATAAATGAAAATAATATTAAACACAAGATAAAGATTTTTTTTTCTTACTTATAATCAGGATAATCAAGACCTTGTCCTAATGGATTTAAAAAAGCTCGTTCAAGTTGTAACAATTGATCATTATATGCTCGAATTTCATATGGACTAAAAGTAAGAAATAATATTTTACATTTCACTTTCTTTGCAAAATAATAACTAACTTTTCAATATTTAATGGCTTAGAACGAGTTACAAAATCATTTGCTGCTTTTTCAAAATCATTAATAGCATTTCGAAGAATTGCTAAAAATAAATTTTGATGTGAAGAAAACAAATCGAAAGATTTGATTCATACCAAAATCTATATTATTTTGTTCAATTTTGTTTAACAATTGTTTAAATGCAATCGCATATCGCATAACATTAAATGGTAAAATATTTGTTTCACAAAGAATTAATCCTAAAACGCCTATAAATTGAGCTATTGTTCTATGTGCCTAAAGAATAAGATTCACTATAGATATATCATTACAATGAACATTACTGTAAAATCTGGATCAATAAAATTTTTCACCATTGAAAATGTTTCATAGGACGTATGATAAAGTGGATACGTATCTATATTGCCATGATCAGCTGGATTAAATTGATAGGCTGCATCAAAATTTGATGAACCAACTAATTGATTGAATGCATAATAATCACTGCCTGATCCTAAACCATACCGAATTCTGTATAGAAAAACAAGCGTATAAAGTAAATAGACATTTCTATTATACTTACTTTGGTTCATTGGTTATATTATTCCAATGACTTTTCATCCATTTATCGTAAATAGTTTGATTAGGAGGATCGTATGCACTTAAAACCTTTTATTATTGGTTACGAAATATTGTTACATACAAGAATTATTTCTCACCATTTTTGAAGCTTCCACAATGATATCAAATAACATTGGTGATGCTTTGACATGAATTGTATAATTTCCTATTAACAAAAAATAGATAAATAATAATAATTATTATTACGTCTAATACAACGATAGATACCTTGAACAGGAGCATCTATATTTAAGTAAGAAACAACACGAGCTCCCAATACTTTAACATATTCCTAGACAATATAAATAAGAAATAAGTTCATTATCCGTATATATTCACTACTATGAAAAATATATACTTCAACATATTCTGTTGAACCTATGATTCCATATTCTTCGGCACCCCATGAACAAAACATTAAACTTCGTCGTGGCCGAAATCCTATCGCAAATAAATATTAAAAAAATAGTATCATTTAAATAGCAATATAGAAAAAGTACCATCTTTATACATTTGACCAATAACTTGAGTTATTTCTAGTAGAGTAACTGTTCCACTAACAGAATCAACAGCACCTAAACTCCAAGCATCTCTAAAATACAAAAAAAACATTTAATTATTAATAATTCGAAATTTCTAATTTGTACATATATCAATCATACCGATGATTACCAAAGACAACATATCGATCTGTTAAGACAAAAAGGAGAAAAAAAAGTTCATCTCATAAAAGAATAATAAATTTACAATACCTGGTTCGATTTCTCCTTTCATTATTCCAATCACATTATATGTATCTTTTCTTTCAAGTCGATTATATGATTTGATTTCAATGGAACTGAATGTAAAAAAACGATGCATACTTAAGAAATAGTCGTGAACTTAAATGCATTACGTTGAATATGCAAGTTCTCCACCGTAACGATATGTTACATTTGATAAAGTTCCACGCCAATCTGCTGTCACTTCATCACCTTGCATATATCTAAATACGGCACATTCTATTATTAGCTAAAAGTAACAAAAGGACAATGAGAAGGTTCCCACTGGAAAATTAATTGAGCTTCGCTGTAACTGATTGGTTGAGCAGGAATTTTCGGTAGAAATTTTAAATTCTCTTCTTTCATTCGATACATATAATCTATGAAAAATATAAATAGTAATTCTATTGAATAGAACGACAATTATCAGACCAGTCGAAGGATATATAGGTGTGAGTGGATCGCCTCTCGGAATCTTTGTAGATCCTCGTTGTGCACCACTTGGTGGCATATACCATGTTTTATCATAGACTTGATCAGGTGATGTTTCAAATGGAGCATAATCACGTGGATCATTGTATAATATAGCACCCGCGGCTCCAAAATATTGAGCATGCATCACCTATCAAATAATATTGATTATATTTGCTTAGAAAACAATAAATATTACTTTGTTTCCACGATAAATACTACCATATCTCATAATAATGATACTACCTTGAAGACTTTCATTACCAACTATTGATGTTAATTTACGAAGGTCTCCAAGTCGACCATAATTAGCATAGAATAATTTAGTCTATTGTATCAAATAGAAACTTATTCTTTTATATGAAATAAATTGTTAATATTCATTGATGACTTACACTAGAAACAGTACCATTAGGTGTATAAGCAAGAAATGGATTGACTGTTTTTGGTTGTTTTGGATTATAGATCTTTTCAATTCCAGTCGTTTGCATAATGAGAACTCCATTAGTATTCGTGAGAGTAATTCTTAACAAAAATAGAATTTACATTTTAATAAAGATATATATATATATTCGGCATTTACCGATTAGGTTTATTATCATCTGGATAAGAAAGAAGAACATTATAAAAACTTTATTGATTCTATACAAGCAGCTAAAATTGAAGCAAATCTTAAGTAAACTTTAATTACACGTTCATTACAACAAAAATATTTATGCACAATTAAATTATCTAGAAATCTTACTTCACATTCTCATTTGGCTGGTCTAGCAGAAGATTTAGAAAGTGCTGAATCTATCGAAGAACCATGGAAACGTGATGGATTACAAGTAACTAAAACAAAATATAATGTTCTTCTTTCTTATCCAGATGANGGTCAATTAAGGAATAAATAATATAGGTTTTATTGTTGTTAATTATCACACATATAATAACGACAGGTAATCGAGATGAAAGAAAAACAATAACCACCTCTGAGGAGAAAAATCAACAACTGTGAAAGGAAAAATCACAGAGAAAGGATAGTCACTGGAATGTCCAGAGAAAAACATAAAAAACGTATATTAACCATTTAGAAGATGGAGGAAAATTCAATAGAGCACAACGGGACAGTTAGCGGTAATAGAGGGACCTCTATTGACGCTAACAACCTTCCCATTTCCATTTGAAAGCAAAACTTTCCCAAAACTTTCACGAGCGGTATTTAGAACAAATATTTCATTTCTTTTTACCTTTTAAAACGTGATATTCTAGGGTGTTTGGCTGGATCGCTGAGTTTGCCACCAATAGCGATGTCGGTGGATGAGTCATTTCTTGCTGAGTACGATAACGATTCATTGTGTGTTGTACATCCTTCATTTTATCTGTATTTGTACGCTTTAACCCGACACAGCCGAGTGTATGCTTAAAATGGTCTGCAGTAGTAACTTTTCATGGATTCATTGCACACAAAGAATTTTTAACGACAGGGTGTTCCAAAAGTCCGATCGAAAGAGAAACGTGAACATTTCTTTAACCATTCAAGCGATTCATATACGGTTTTTATAGTTTCATTCCATATTGATTGAAGTTTTATTTTACATAAGTTTTGTCTCTAACAGATGTACAAAGTGATTACTTAAAAATCCAATAGAAAAATCTCTCATTTTTGAAAATATCTATAATAGCATCATGCAAAATTTAGTTTGAATTCTTTTCAGTCTTACTATAGTTTCTCATTTTCAACTGCATTATATATTTTACAGACACCGTATAAAAATACGTCGAGTCGCATCAGCTCACATAACCGTGATGCCCATTGAAATGAATAGCCTCCCCTATTGCATTTGTTTGAATAACAATTTTCCAGAAATTGGCAGTCTTCGATACTCAAATACACGGGAACTACGTCTTTGTGAAATAATATGGAGTTCATCTAGCATAATCTTCTTACTTTTGAACTAATAAGAGACTTAAAGCACGGTAAAATATTTTCTTCATTGATTCTGTTATCGAGAAACAAATTGTCCGAACACTTGATTTTCTAACATCACACTATAAATATTGCCTTTTTAAGACTATAATAAATTTAGTAGTTCTATGCGTTCATGACGTGTGTTAAAACTCGTTAAGTTGAAAATGGCAATGCACAGGAAGATCAAAAAGATTTCAAACCAAATTTTACATGACGTTATTATAAATATTTTTGAACATGAGAGATTTTTGTATTGGATTTTTTAGTAATCATTTTGTACATCTATTAGAGTCAAAACTTATGTAAAATAATACTTCAATCAATATGGAATGAAACTATAAAAACCTTATGTGAATCGTTTGAATGGTTAAAGAAATGTTCATGTTTCTCTTTCGATCGGATTTTTGGAACACCGTGTAGTTACTGAATGTTCCATGGATATTGTGTGCGTTGCATCAATAAATTGCTTTATATTAATTCTTCGTTTTTCACCAGAAAAAGATGATTTTCTATTTTCTTTCAGAAAGATGGCACAGTTATTACGTAGATACAACAGTTTTGCAATACGATATCCACTACTTGGCATGAGTTTGACTACAGGTATGACTAGAATCTCGCTCTCTCTTCCACTTTGAATGGGGCCTATAGTCAGAAATTTTCTAGGATGATGCATCGGGGGTATAACGATTCGTAACGAGAAATTTACAGGGCTTTCGTAACGAATTTTGACAGGGCTTTC